GGTCTGCGGACGTTGTTATTTATGGAGGATCCGAGATGGGGGGCAAACTTTCCTCGAGCGGGCACGCGGAAAACGCACTTGTTCAACTGCAAATGCAAACTCTACCTCGTAATTCATTTCAAACATTCGCCAGCCCTAGAGCCGACGGTTCCGGGGGTAAACAGCTAAAAGAGAGCCCTGGGCCTACGCCCTTTCCGGGAAAAAAAATTTGAGGGCGAAGTGGCGATAATCTTGATCGAGCGTTTATTATGTTTCGAATATTGTTTCTGGTTCCGGGTACTTTGTTGTATGTGTTTCGAAGATCTTTTATTTTTCCTCACAAATCCGCCTGCAGGAGGACATGCCCGACCTAACCGAAGCAGGCCCCTCCACCCCCTGGCACGCCGCCGAGGCCGCACGGCCCAGGAGAGCCACCGGAGGGCCCCGGCGCGAGCCGCGGCGGCCGCGCCGCTGCGCGCCAGAGGCCCGTCGCGCCGGCGGGACGCGCGGCGGGCCTTGGGCGCTGCTTCCCAGGGGGGGGGGGGGGCGATCCACGTGGGGGCGAGCGAGGGGGGGAAGTGCGGCTTCTCTATCGGGGGCCCGTAGTTGTCTTGTCCTTGTCTGGTGGTTGTCGCGTGGGTGCCCGCGGTTGTCCCTCGGCTGCCACGTCTGCAGATATTCGGCGGCGAGCCCGGGGGGAAGTGAGAAGGGGCGGGCCTTCTCAGAAGGCTCGGAAGTCCCCCAGCCTTCTGAGAAGTGTTCTAAGCCTTCCCCGAAGACACCCAAAGCCTCTCGGAAGGTGCGAGAGCTTCTGAGAAGTCCCGCCGCCTTCTGAGAAGACCTTCTCCTTCTCACTTCCCCCCCTCGCTCGCCGCCGAAGTCAATGTTGGGGGGCGGGGGAGAAGCGTGCACCCTGGAGGGCCCCTCGGAGCGTGCGCCATGGAGGGCCGTCTTATCCTGCGCTTCGGCTTGACGAGGCGACGACGACGACGACGACGACGACGACAGGGAGGAGCGTGCCTGTTCGGGGCCCCAGGGCCCCAGGGGGGCCCCTGGAGGGCCCCTGGAGGGCCCCTCTCGGGCACGCAGTGTGCACCTCACCTCGCCACCCCCGTGAACTGCCCCCCCCACTGCGCAACACGCGCTGAGCTGCCCCGCGGCCCTCGCGCCGGAGGCCGCGCGGCGGGCCGCGGGTGCACGCTGCGCCGGCAGGGAGGCAAGGAGACTCCCAGGCCCCCCTCGCGTCGTGAGAGCCGGGAGAAGGAGAACGGGAACCGCGCGTAGATGTGCACTCAGGTATCTGGTATCTGGGCCCTTTCCCGTGGGGTTTCGCGGAGACGTCACAGAACAACGTGCAACTGTATCATCGGCGCGGAAGCGAGGAGACCCCCAGGTTGGAGGCGGCCAGAGTTAAGTCGGTGTCCCCCATACAGACGGACTTTAGACGAACAATTGAAGATACCCCCCCGAAAAATGCACCAAAATATTTAAAACAATCGTCCAAATACTATTTTTCAATCATTTTTGAATGTTCCTCCTGTCCAGGGACGGCCAGACGGTCTGAACTGGATGGGGCCACAGAACATCTATCAAGAGGGGCGGACTCGGGGCCAAATCCGCTCCAAATCGATCCCCGGACCCCTCCCAGGGTCCATGTGTGGTGCAATCTGTCACCCCGGATCCGCTTTTGACGGCCCCGTAGGGCCCGAAAACGGCCCCCCGAGGCCGAAGACTTCCTGACCCCAGAACCTCGAACCTGCCCCCCCCCCTTCTCACTGCACCGACCTTGCCGACGTGCTGCCGCGGACTTTTGCGTGGATTCCTGTCCATGCAAAACCCCGAATAGCCGAGCGAAAAACTAAGTGTATTTCACGTGGATGAATTGCAATCTCCATTCCTGGCCAAAAAATCCGCACGGAATTCACTTCGAAATCCGGAACGAGATTCTCCAGGACACTCTGGGCCCATCCTTGTTTTCCGAACGAACTCCTATCTGCGATGTTGGCGCCATGACCCTTCCTGCTGGCCCTGGTTCAGTGCTGGGTCAGCTCAGACCCCCAGCCGGCTCCAACCCCAAGGCCCCCCCTCGCGTCGTGGAAATCGGAGGGAGGGAAGAACATCAATCACGCGCCGCCGTTGGGAGCCCATCAGCGTGCTACAGCCTCGCGTTTGTCCGAGAGCCTGGTGCCCCTTCAATGGTAGTGCGCTGATGGGTTCCCCACGGCTACATCTCGACGGAAGGTCTCTGGAAAGTTTCGGCCTCCTGGGGCCCTGCCCTGGGGCAGGTGGGATGAGAAACATTACCTCGGGAGGGGGCCCAGACCGCTAGAAAAAAACACGACGCCGGGGGTCTAGGGGGCGGTGACTACCTACCAGATCACCCCAACCCAGCCCGAAGACCCGACTTTCGGGTTGGGGGGTACGAGCCTCATGTGGCTTTTCAATGTTCCCCGCCCCCGCCCCTCCCCCCACTGGAAATGGAGGGCAAATCGGAGCCTTCGGGTTGGGTCGGGGTGGTTCGGTGGGCGGTGAGGCGGCTGGGGGCGCGCACAAGTCAGGTGGCAGCTCCTGCGAGTGCAGTCAGAGTGGCGTCTGGGCGCCATCGCGCGAGCTTCGCAGACAGATTACGCGAGTCTTGCGGATGTCCCTGCTAGGGCTCCCAACTTCGCGCTTCGCGCTGCGCGAAGCGCGAAGTGCGAATAACTTCGCGCTCTCGCGCCACCCCCCCAAAGGGAGAAAAGGAGGACGAGGAGGAGGGGGAGAAGGAACGAGGACCGCGAAGCGCGAAGCGCGAATAACTTCGCGCCCTCGAGGGAGCCCTTGCTCACCCATCGACTGGGCCGCCGCTGAGGCCCCTTGCTCCTCGCAGCCCTGGCCTCGGCCCTGCTGCACCGACTCTCGAGGCGGATAACATCAAAGCTATGCCGCAAGGACCCTCGGATCAGTCGGGGAGACGTAAGACCCGGGTACGGGGGACTCGGAAATCCCCGACGAGGTCGTCAAAAAAATGACGAGGCCGGGCCTGCATTTCGACGAGGCCTCCCGCTGCAGACATCCCACGGAACTCCTACTCGTCAAAATCCGAGTCGCGGTCGTCAAAAAACGATGGCGAACCCGAGTCCTGGCAAACCCGGGTCTTACGCTCCCCCGAATAAGGAACGACGCGTACTTCAAGCTTTCTATGCGCCTGGGTGCACGAAGATCGCCAGGGGAAGGCCCTCGAAAGGGCCCAAGGAACGTCGGACCCCCTCTGAGACCAAGAATGATACCTCATCCCGAGGCTTTGACAATAGAAAATGAGGAGGCCGGCACCACCACCATCGCGAGGAGTGGCATCCCGCCCGAGACATATGCGTTCTTCAGCCCCGAAGGCTCCGCGGACCTCCTCACTTGAGGTGGCCCGCTGGTGGGGGTGTCGCTTCTCCTCTCTCCGAGGGAGGTCCTCGTGGGAACGAATCAGGAGCTTTCAAGCCGGGCGAAGCAGCTCTTGAGCGGGATATGTCAGGCGTTATGCCAGATTGGAGCAAGCCAGATGAGGCCAAGAGTAAGGTCAAACAAAACGGATGAGCATCAAGGCAATGTCAAGACCGATGTCTACAAGAATATTGGAAGAAGTGGAGTGGACATCCTATAAAAGGAAAGTGGCAAGGGCTGGAAAAACTTGGTGGGCTGGAGCGAACCAATGATCCCAGCAAACCATTTGCTCCTGAAACGCTCCTGAAAGGCTCCTGAGAGGCTCCAGAGAGGGTCTTGAGATGGTCCTGAGAGGGTTCAAAAAAACAACTCACGAGTGGGTCCTGAGGAATCCTCGAGAGGCTCATGAGAACCTCTTGAGAAACTATTGGGAGGGTCCCGAGAAGATCTCTGAGAGGTTTCTCAGAGGGTCCCCGGAGGGGTCCTGAGAGGTTCCCGAGAGACTCTTGGACGGCTCTTGGGAGGCTCGTGAGAGGCTCTTCGGAAGATATTGCGAAACTCCTGGTAGGCTCCTGAGAAAATCCCGAGAGACAATTACAGGAAGGCGAATTCGGATCAGTTCTGCAGATTCGCTCAGCATAACCCGATTGGAACAACTAAGGGTTTGGAACTGATCTTGGCGCTGCCACGCAAATAACGTCCCACTCGATGCATACACACACAAATGAAACAACTAATCAACAAAAAACAAAAACACACTATCCGTCAGCCTGCCCGGCACCGCGACGGCAACCCGCCGGCAGCCCCCTGAGAGAGATTCCAGATCCGTGTCCCGGGCGCCGAGAACGCCAAAGCGAGGCACCACAATGGGATATGTTGGCTGATTGCAAGAAGACGCTCAAGGAAGCCAGCGGGGGCTGGAACACGTGAAGGGCTGGACCCAGCCACTGACTCCAGCTTCCCGGTGACTCAGTACTCTGGGAGTTGCGCAGCCCAACAGCAAGGGAACAGGGCGGGTGGGGGGGCTTCCACGAACGCCGAGGGTAAGAAAAACACATGGCTCCGATACCCCTACTCCCAGAATCTCTCCAAGGGTCCGTTCTGACCAGGATTTCGAGGCGAATCCAGCGGTGCCGAAGAGGGCGTCCCAAGATGCCCAAAAAGAGGCAAAAACAGTATGGGTACGGCGGGGGGAGGTCTTCCACGAAGGCCGAGGAAGAGAAAGCAAGAATCGGACCACTGAAGCAGCCTTGCGCCCCGCGGCTCATCAGAGGCGAGGGGCCCTCTGTGAAGGCCGCCCCCGTCGCCCTGTCCGCTCTGCGCGCCGCCCAGGGGGAGAGGGGCAACGACAGGGGGGACTGGCATAGGGCGTAGGGGTGGACGCGTCGGCCTGGAATCGGCGATACATCGCGGATAGATCGGCGATAGGCGCCCGATGGTGAACCCGCATGATTCTGGGCAGGTTGGGGCTATTCAGCCCCTATCCGCGATTAATGGGCGGTTGGGGGTCGATGCATCCCCCCCTATGCATATCCCCCCATTCGTTGCACCTGAAGGGGAGAGAGAGGAAGTGGCCAGGTCGACGAAGCAGCAAACACGTTCCCCCG